GGAGGCACCACTTTAACCCCCCCCCCATTTTTTGTGGGTGGGGTTCCCCCTAGAAATTCCTACCAGCCCTAAAGACCTAAAGGGCCTGGTATGGATTTTGGGGGGAATCCCACGCATTTTTTTTTACTTGAGGGGTCCCTCATAACATTCCTACCAGACCTAAAAGGTCTGGTATCAATTTGGGAGGGGGGATCACACGCTTTTTTTTTTTTCTCTTCTGCAGACTGTAAAAAAAAGAAAACTTCTTTTTATGTCACTTTGCTGCAACGAAAATTTGTCCACAAGCGAAAATTCGTACAGACCAGCGTTTCGTCCGAAATTTCAGTTTTCAGAAATTCGGATTCGTTTTCATTCGTCATTTCTGCTATTCGGACATTCAGATACAGGTGAAACTCGAATAATTAGAATATCTAATTGTATATCTAAATATATATCTAATATGTACCTTTAATTTTCACAATTTTGCAAAAACTGATGATAAACTTACTGTATGCTTGGCGGTGTTTAAAGGGTTAATTCACAGGTCCACAGGAAAAGCCCAGTCAATAACATTTACTGGAATAGCCAACAGTAAACAGAGCACTCCGTACAGAAGGTCTCTGTGCAATGTTTACCTTTGTATGTTACCAGGTTTCCTAATCTGTGCAGGATACACAGTTTGATCCAATGATCCATCTATTCACGGATTGCGGACTGTAAAACGTGTCTGGGGAGTCCTTCTATTTTAATTGTCTCATTACTTGTAAATTATATCCGAAGCAACCAGATGAGCATTTGCACATGGACAACTTCCTTAAAGTGACACTAAACTCAGGAGTTAAATCTTAAAAATGCATTCAAGTCCCCTAACTATGAACAAAAATGTATCTTATTTGTGTATCACTCGGCTGTAGATCCTCCAATCATCTCTGAATTGGTGCTGACACTGTCCTTCCTTCTGGCGGGGGGCTTCTCCAAGCTCGCTCCTGTCATGGGTTACAATCTTATCTTTAGTTTACTAATTTGTATTGAGATTATAGTCCATCAGAGGTGTGAGCTTGGAGCGGTGGTTACTTTACAACATACACAGGGACCATGGGGAACAAAAGTAGCCACCCTCCAGAAGGAAGGACAGTGTCAGCACCAATTCAGAGATGATTTGAGGATCTACAGCCGAGTGACACACAAATAAGATACATTTGTGGTAAAAGGAAACTTAAATGCATTTTTAAGATTTAACTCCTGAGTTGATTGTCACACTATTAGGGCTTGTTCACACCTTGTCTGGATTATATCCAGACCAGAGCAGTGGTATCGTATCGGATAGGCACGCCTGACGCGTTTCGTCATGGGAGACGTCTTCAGGGGGATGGCAGGTCTATCTGGTCATACCACACACTTTCTTATTATAGCCTGCTATAGCCACGCTAAACACGGAAGTGCAGGCTCTCTGTTTGCTGAATCTGACCGGCCGGTTATGTCATTTTTAAAATGTGAGTTTTTATATCTATCTTAATAAATGGTCTCCATATACTATACAATGAGGAGTTTTTTCTTTTTATAATTATGGCAATCTATCGATTTATGGGACATCGCTGTGAGAGCTTATAAAACAGACGCTGGGACATCGTGGTCTATCAGTGAGCTTCCTATGGTTAATATACAACAAAATTGCGGTGAGTGTGCACTCCTGAGGGGGTGTTGGCGTGGGCGCAAATACGCTCTTTGGAAAGATCATCAAGCACTTTTGGGATTCTTTTTCCACACACGTTGAATATATTATTACCTATTTTCCCTCATCTATTACGGATTAACCACACTGGATATGATATAAGTTTCTGGACTTTTATGAACTTATATATTCTCTATGAGGAATGTTTTCACTTCATGCACTAAAAGTTCATGAATTTATATTTTTGCACTTATATTTGTATGTATATATATATATTTATTGCACGATTTTGCACTTTTTGCACGTTTGCACAATTTTGATCAGTAGTGATTTACAGTTTATATTGGGGTAATGGCTTATACCTTTAGCACATGACTTCATGATTTATATATTTATTTGTATTTATATGCACTAATTGCAATTTTTGCACAATTTAGATCAAAAGAGGTCTGTTTATTTATATTCATGCACAATTAGCGGTTATTGTCTTATCAAATATCCCTTCAGATTAGACCCATTTAACTAGTTACTATCTGGACCCATAGCACTGCATACTTATTATTATCTACCAGCCGGACCACAGTGTCTATAGTGCAGCAGCTGTAACAATATCCATTGGTTCTCTAAGACTACCCATAAGCACAGATTCATTCTCTAATGCCACAAGCATGACAAGATCCACAGGCTCTGACATGTTTCGCCAAACTTTTTTACATCAAGTTCCTTGCTGTTGGGTGTCCAAAGTTGGACTTTCTAATAATTGTGCCAGTCCTAGCTAAAGCTAAAACCCAGCTGAACTGTAATCCACTTCCAGGGTGTTGATGTACCCTGAGCAAACAACCATTGTTTTCTTACCTGATAAGATGGCACCATCTACAATTCATACATGTTATAAAAAGGGTCAGCTAGGTTAGGCCATGAAGGTGGAAGGCCAACTGACTGGAACTGCATTGTCACTTTCTCTACTTTCCATTCACTTGACACCCCGTGACATCAATAGTGAGAATAGAATGGCCTGGCCTCCTAATCTGGAGATATCCTGTTGGGAACCTGGGTGGAGTAATTTACCTCCTCACACTACAACCATGTTTACTCTGCTGGGGATTCAGCCTTAGATTCCGGGTGCTGTATTTTCTGTTCTGAGCTGATAAAGGTGCCAATTTTTGTAAAGTGAGCCTGTGCTGTGCCAATACAGTGCAAACAACATATTGACTTTATTGCCGGCCTGCACAGCAGCTTAGACATTCCTTGCTTCCTACCCATTTAACAGGAAATCAATACATTCTGATTTTTTTTTCAGCATTTGGTGAACAATTACACAACATCAGTGTATGTCAGTGCCTTTTTATTGTTTGCTCAGTACTTACAAAAGTACAAGGTTAGCTATGCATTTACTTTCCTTCTTCCTTGTTATGTTACACAGATACTACATATACAATGAGATGATCACTACAGACAGACAATGATACAATTTCTTTCATAACATGTCTTCTTCTTCAGCTCAGCACAATATTTTCCTGCTGCTGTCTCCACCACACGTCTTACCGCCATTCTGAGGGCCTGGGTTATTGCACTGACGTGTTTGGTTCTTCTCTTCTTTTACACAGGAAGAAGAGTCACTCCAGCAGCTCCAGTGTCCATCGATGGCTGTAGAGGGTTCTGTGAAAACAGTTATAATCAGTCAATAAAAGAAGTTGGGAATTTCTGAACGGAATGTTACAAGTTAAATTGAATATTCAATTTTTTTGCAGATTACGCTTCAGTTAGGGCCTATAGAGAAAAGCTGGCTGGGATGGGGGTGAGGGTTGGGGGGGTACACTGAAGCTCCGAGGAGAAGAGTGAAGATGCCGGAGCTGACATAGGCTGGTGGGGTAGATTGCCGGCTAATCTCATGGTACTAGTGGGGAATATATTTGGAATGGAAAGAGCAAGGGGGAGAGGTTTGATCCACCTGTATTGAAAGGGTAGCTTCTTTAACTCTAATGGTGGCCATGCACTGCTCACATTTTGGCTGATAGGTGGCCCTAAAGGGACCACACAAGCAGGGTGCTGGGTGGAGAATTGTTGGGTATTCATCAATTGTGGATCCCACTGGATGCTAAATACAACAGCTGGGAGAGGAGATTCCTTCATCTACACTGTTTACCACGGATGCGGGAACCCACCCTCTCATTTAGCCCATGTTGACAGCACTAGCAGTGTTATGGAAGATTTTATTGACACACTTACCATTTAACCCGTGGGTGGGAATAAGAAGACAGTTGTAATAATGTGTATACTGGCTATTTCACCTCTGAGTTTGCCCTGTTCCAGCGATGTGCTTTCCCACCACTCCATAGCCAGCAATGTCGTGCTCTTAAAAGCTTCTCAGGCTACCGACATCTTCCTCCTTTATGATGCAACACCCGCAAATGCAGGATGTGGTCTCACCACCTTGCCTATAGACTTCACACTTTAGCATTTGACAGATGCTGGTAGTGGAGTGCACTGTGCATGTGAAAAAGTCTCTTCTATGTAAAAAACTGAATGCTAGCATTTTTTCTATATCTTTTTTTTAAAATAATTTGTAAGGTTGAAAAAAAAAACACAGGTTCATCTAGTTAAACCTATAATCTGGAATTTCTGATTCAACAAACTGTCAGTTTATGGATAGTAAAAGCAAGAGTATTTTTACTGTGAAGATCAAAAACTGTTCAGTTTTCAGCTTACTTACTCTCATATAGGGCAGACTTTGATGTCTGGCAGGCCACACCTGTAAATCGGTCAGGACACTTGCACCAACATTCACCGTCTACCACAAGCAAAGTACCGCCATTCCTGCATGGCTGACATTTGCATGTGCTGTATTCCTCAATGTAGTCATGAATGGCTTTTTCCAAGTGTTGCTTCTTGGTGTAAGCCTCCTTCATGTCAATGGGGATCAAAGTATAAATTGGTGATGTCTGTAGAGAAAAAAACCATTATAAAAACAATAATAGTAATAATAACACATACAAAAACATGTTAAAACACATGTTTGCAATGCTTTCTATATATTTGTATACACTGAGTGGCCAGATTATTATGACCACCTGACGTTTGTAGGAAAATTAGCTATAATTAGCTGTAATTTCGGAGCCATGGAGTGAGTATCAGTAAAACAGCAGAATTTGTTAAATGTTCAAGAGCAGCTGTTGTTAAAGTGTTTAAAGACTGGACTGTCAGCTGAAAATCTGGGTCTGAACGTGCGAATTGTGGCCGTCAGCGACTAGTCAATGTTAGGGCAGAACGGAGAGTGGCAAGACTGGTACAAGACAACAGAAGGGCAACAGTGCAGTGTCAGATTCCTCGCATCACCTTTCAATATCTCGTGGAGTCATCTTGTGGCCCAATGAAGTCATCTCGTGGCCCAACAAAGTACTGATGGGGTGGTCATAATAATCTGGCCACTCAGTGTATATGTTCCTATAAAACTACAGGGGGTACAGCTGTTCCAAGCCGCATGAGGTCAGGGAGCCTAAGTGTATGTAATGTCCAAAATAAAATAGCCTCCAGAACAAGGCAAAGATTCCCTTGCGGCACAGCACACCAAGAGAAGAGGTACTCTCAGATCTTATATGGCAGAGATGAAGATGCTGAAGGAAGGCATAGATTTTAGTGTAACCATTCGGGTACCATGCATGGTCATTTAATTTGCCTAAGAAAAGGGGGATCATGTTCTTTGTTCTGGCCTCTCAAAATGTTCCTGCTGAGCTCTGTTGTGGACTATATGATCGGCATCTATCTGCTTCCTTAGTAAGTGCTGCTAAGGAGATGGTAGTAAAGGGGGTCAGCCACATGAAAGAGGGCCCCAGTCTTTGCTAGAGCTACTGCAACCTATTCCTACACCATTGCGCAAGACATCAGCTGGCACACTCACGTGTTCCTCAAGGTTGCAGGCAGGAGAATCTAATGTCACGTACAGGGTGCAACAAGAAAACCAAGGGTAGCAGTCACACTGACAAGCCTGATGACTTGCTATATGACTTGCAGACTTACAAAACTTTTTATTAAGAGTTAACAAACTTGCATAAAATACAGGCTGAGCAGGAGGTGGCAGAAGACAAAAAATAACCCTTCCATTAACACATAGCACTAATTGCTGCACCATTTTGGAGCAAGCAGAAGTCCACTGTGACACTGAAGACAGAAATATGACAAAAAAAACTAACCTTCGGCTTCAAGACCACAGGATTGTCTCCTAAGGAAGCAGCCCAAGCCACAAAATCATCTATGTCGATTTTTTCATCATGCTGGAGTTTAGCATTAAGTTTTGCGGCAAAAGCTGGTGTGCCTCCCTCAACGAAAGAAATTATTTTGTCAATGATACCGGATTTACCTGGTGCGCCTGCAAAAGTACAAAGAGGGTTCGGTAAGACAATATCACATAGCATCTTGGCGGCACTGGAGTAGGTGCTGCAATAAGACAACAGAGGTCATTCTGCAACCACTTGTAGCTGCTAGCGCTGATAAGCAATAAGCTATCCTAGCTATTCCACTGCTTCCTAATCAAATGCACCTGGATGGAGGGGGGTTTACCCAAATGCATAGCTTCCAACTTTCACTTATTTGGAGGGACTAAATCTTTCTGTCCCTCTTTCCTCCTCAGATGTCCTTTTTTTTTAAATCTGTTGTATAGACGTCTACTAGAAATATATTATTTACTACAAAAAGTGTTAGAACTCATTCACCCCTAAAGTAGAATAAAACTCTCAAACCTTTTCAGTAATGAATACATGAATACAGATCAAACAAATACACATTCCCAAGAAAAGTATTCTTCTTGTTTAACGTCAAGAAGCAGCATCCATTGTAAGGGATTAATCAGCATTTGAAATAGCTTAAAATTTTTTGACTTTAAGTGACACTAAACTCAGGAGGTAAATCTCAAAAATGCATTCATGTATCTTAACTATTAACAGAAACATATCTTATTTGTGTATCACTTGGCTATAGATCCTCAAATCATCTCTGAATTGGTGCTGACACTGTCCTTCCTTTTGGAGGGTGGCTACTTTTGTTCCCCATGGCTCCTGTGTGTGTTGTAAAGTAGTCACCGCTCCAAGCTCACTCCCATGATGGACTACAATCTCATGTATAGTTTACTAATTTGTATTGAGTTTGTAGTCCATCACAGGAGCGAGCTTGGAGTGGTGACTACTTTCCAACACACACAGGGACCACGGGGAACAAAAGTGGCGACCCTCCAGAAGGAAGGACAGTGTCAGCACCAATCCAGAGATGATTTGCAGCGACAGCCGAGTGATACACAAATAAGATACATTGTTGTTAATACTTAGGGTACTTGAATTCATTTTTAGGATTTAACTACTGAGTTTAGTTTTACTTTTATATCAATGTAAGCGTTCCATTGCGGTGCACACTTTATTTTGCATTGCATTAAGGAAACCCATTCATTATGAATAGGTTGCCAAGGCACCACAAGAGATGAAAAAAACCCTTACATTACCCTTTTTTTTTAGCAACGCAGCACACATAACACACAGTATGCAGCACACATAACACACAGTATGCATGTTGTGCTGCGCTGTGATGCATTGGGATGCCATTCAGAATAACTGGCACCGCAACACACCACACATAAAGCTGGTGAGTTGTCATAACACACTAATGAATATACCCTAAAACTATACTAATTACTCCATCCAGACTCTGAATTATTCCTTTCGTTTTTTTAAATGCCAAGATAACGAAAACGTAGTGTTAAAAAAAAGATAAAAGGTTTAACCTATAATTTTTTGTGTTTTAGTTCTGTATAGCCTCCATAGATGGGGATGTAGCAGGGGAATGTCCTTTGCCTACATACTTGCTGCTAAAAGGTGTCTCCCTTTCTCATCTCAGAAAGTTGGGAGGTATGCATATGAATTACAAAGTAAAATTAGCTTATCCCAACAGTCAATAACCCTTTCACGACTGAAACCATTTTTTATTTTCTTTAATTTTTTTGCACACAACTTAAAATGCACATTTTAGGCCCGAAGATACTTAAAACTCTTAGCATGTTGTTTACACAGACATAGGCGCAACAAACATTCTCACATATTATACTGTGATTATTAGTTCTGCCACTAGGTGGTGGTGTTTAATGCTTGGTTAATGTAATGTTCTTCGTAGAGCAACTACATGGTTATGATGTCATTTCCTGTTACTGTTTCCAATAAAACAAGAAGGGCTCAGCCATGTGTCCAGCAACACGGTACGCATCATATGTGCAGCAGCTTTCCAACAAAAACCCCCAAATCATTATATAATTCCTGACAGCAGGGACCCTGTAGAATAAAATTGTAGCAGATGCAAATTTTCATTTCACCCGATAACTGCGCTTCTGTCAGTCCAATTTTTTTTTTAACCAAATACACTCAGAATAATTCTGATGCACACAGAACACAATATATTATCTAATATTTTTGTAAAATATAAAAGATGAAGTTGTGTCGAGTAAACAGATACAAAACATGATAAGTCAGAGAACTGTGCCTATCCGTGAAACAGTGAAAAACCATTGATTAAGACCAGGTGGTGAAACGCGTGTGAGGCGCTGGTTTGGGAGAGACACCATGGTGATGTATTTGCTGTACTACATTTGATTTGGGATTTTTATCTGGAAATTATTACAATAAAGCTGGACTTTTATGGATACCAGTCTTTATGCAGCTGATTTGTTAAAGGAGTGGGAGCACACTGTAGCCTGCACCCGGCATACACATTAACCGACAGTCAGAAGTGGAATTGGAGCGGTGAGTTCTTGGTGCTTGTTTGGACATTGTGCATCCGGCTTTTGACAGGTAGTTAGGTTACACAGCAGCGGGCTTCCCTACTGCTTGTGTAACCTAACTATTGAGGCAAGAGCTGTCACAGCCTCTACTCTTTGTTAGAGGCGTGAGCTCTGTGGATGGCTTGGACCAATGGCAAAGCGCCATTGGTCCAAGCTTTCCAATCAAAAAAAGAAAATAAAAAACACTGAGGCCATCGATCTCGATGCCTCAACAGTGACGAGCAAGTGAGGGACAGGCAGGCTCCTCCCTGCCTCCTCCCTTCCTCCGTCACACTAGGTTGGGGGTCGTGCTTTGGCGGGCAGGGCGGGACGTGCTGGGGGCGAGGCTGGGGAATGCCTCACCCGGAACCAGAGGTACCGCACGTCACTGCTACTAAGCCCTCTATGTTATAACATAGCGCAGGTGACAGGTTCTCTTTGTGGATACATCAGGGATCTGTTAAAGGTGATCAAGCACAGACTGTTCCCAGCAGTGTAGGAGTGACAGGACAGCTTTACAGCCACCTGAATAATTTCTACAAAAAAGCCGGCATCCGGGACTAAACAGGAAAGCCATCTCCCGGCTGTTATAGTGGGCAGGAGTTTATTTACATGCCTGTGCTGCTGCCAAGTAATAGTTATGTTGGCGGCAGTGAAAGAGTCAATAGGGAGTGCTAGTCACATTCTTTGATATACAGATGACTACTAGAGGGATCATTGAGAATTCTAGTAATACCTGTAGCCCTCCAAACTGGAGATACCCCGGACAAAATGGCATCAAACCAAACTATATCTCAAAATATTTTGATGTCGTTCAATACTTAAATATATAAATACCAAAACCATCATCCTTATAAACACACATAAATTAAATATAAACCCATTTTTTTATGAAAACCCTAATCTAAAACAATGAAACAATGAATACTTCTGATGCTGGTACTCCAATTCATAACCCATATATAACACATTTGTCCCAGGGTCCTGTATATATTGCCCAAACATTCATAAAGGGCTATTATTCCACAAAGCACGCAGTTTATGTATAGACAAGTCGGCACTCCATAGAGTCCATGATTTAATATATTGTAGCCAATATTGTAGGTAATATTTACAGGACACCGGGACAAATGTGCTATCTATATATGTTATTAATTGGGGTACCAGTGATAAGTATTTATTGTTTCATTGTTTTAGATTTAGAGTTTCTTTCCTTGGGACAAAATAGTAAGGTCAGTCATTATTGGAATTTAACTAGTTTCCCACGTACTAAGTGCCCTCTTGTCTTGTGCTAGCTTATCATTGACAATTCTGTATATAAAATAAAATAAGGGTAGGCAACCTTGCACCCCCGGCTCTTCGGTAACTACAAGTCCCATGAGGCATTGCAAGACTCTGACAGCCACCGATATGACTCTCAGTGGCAGAGGCATGATGGGATTTGTCAAGTGCTGAGGTTGCCTACCACTAGAAATAAAAAAGATTAGCAACAACATATTCCAATGTCAAAGTCTGATCATGAAAATATCAGCATAATAGCAACAGTAATATCGGACTTTGCCTTCCAGTCCAGGTCCATCCACCGTTAAGCCTAGATTGTATCCCAGACATTCTTCTACTTCTGCTGTGGTGATATCTGCGATGGAAAAAAATACATTACTGGATAGAAGGCTAAAGCTGGCCAATGAAAGTCTCCTCTTAATCACTTTGGTTGTTATTTTTATTACATATAATACATGTAATTTGTATATTCCTTAACGATAGTTACAAAGTAACATATGCTGAAAAAGACACTTTTCCATCGAGTTCAACTGATAAAAATGATAAATAAAAAAATCTGCACCCATAGAAAAAAATCATTTGACACATTGCTAATTTGAAAATGACTTTACAAGCAAACCCAATGACTGGGTTATACACACTTATCTGATTGACGTCTATTTAATGCTGGCAAAAGGTTTTGACTTTATTGTTTAAAGAACAACTCTAGTTAAATTTTTTCTTAACCCTTGCAGTGAGGCTGCCCTAGCACTGCAACGGTTAACTGCTTGATTTTGCCTAGGGAGGGCCGGTGCACACCTAGGCGACACCTCACCATGCGGCAATCGTGCACGATTCCACGCGGATTGCAGTGCAGTCAGGAGTCGCCTAGGTGTGCACCGATCGCGCTGTGGGTGCCATTATTTGCTAATGGCACTCCAGCCACGCTGGGTGGGTCGTGCGGTTTCCCGCTGCTATTCCGCCCGTGCTTCTGAACACGATAAAACAGCCGCGCGTCATGTATCGAAAAAAAAAAGATACATGTACATTTTTTCTGCGATTGCAGGGAGGCCGTCACCCCATTGACAACAATGGGGCCGTGCGGCAATCGCGGTCTGCATTGTGCAGGACCACACGATTCCGGGGTGCGCAATCCCGGATCGCGTAGGTCTGCACCGGGCCTTAAAAATAACAAAGTAATCATCACCTGAACTTCCGAGCTGGACAGAGGTCACAGCCCTCCCTCCAACCGAACTCCATTTCTCCTGCAGTGATGGTATGTCCCATGGTGTCCTCATGTCCTATACACTGTATTGAATGTGATGACTTGAGGATCCCTAGACCACTGCAGAGGAAGGGGAGAGAGGCTCCGGAGACCGATCTAAGAGCAAAGTGGCTCCGAGCATCAGGTGAGTAGAACTTTTTTAACAAGCAGTTAACCCTTGCAGTGCGGGGGTAGCCCCACTTCAAGGGTTAATACAATTTTTAACCAGAGTTTTGCTTTAAAATACAAAAGTAAAGCAAGTTGCAGCCTATTAACAATTGGCATAGTATATATATTGAATATAGGTTCTTCCTGTGGTGCCGTAATCTGTGTCGCCATTCCTACGGTGACAGTTGACTTTAGATAGCCGATAGAATAGGGGGTAGCTGTAGGATTGTTCTTCAGCAGGATCATTGTACAAACAGACATTATAATATTAGCTGAGCATACTTGTTAAGGCATTGTGTGGTCAGATACCCAGTGTCATCAGATCCTCCAATAAAATCATCAACCACGCAGTCATAGTTCCCAACCGTTCCTGATTTTGAGGGACTGTCCCTCTTTTAGAACCAAAGTCCCCTGTCCCTCTTTCCTCAGCTGTCCCTCATTTTGGTCTAATATAATTTATGTATGTATTTATTTTTTTATTAATTACAGGTATTAATTCTGAAAAGTGTGAGTGTAGTCTATTGCAAGGGTCTTTGGAGCATATCAAAAGCAAGGTCCTCCCTATCCTAAACAAAATAAACAAAAGGGTGGCCACAGTTTAGGTGAGCCGTGACAGGATCGAGAGGTGAGGGAACCCGGTATGTGTTCCCTCACCTCCCGATCTACTGAGCCGACCTGTGACAGTCTCATTGTCACAGGTCGGCTTAGAACTATGAGGTGAGTGGAAATCACTCATCTCATAGTTCTCCTTTAAGAACAACAAATAGATTTACAAGTACAAAAACATGGCCATGGAAACAACAATGATGCAACATGCTATATAGTATCAGCCAGTTAAATTTCACTTTAAAGTCAGTAAATTATGAATTCTGATTGGTTCCTGTATGGGTCTGCACTTTGCACACAACCAACAAATCTTTGTTAAACTAGCTGTCCACATTAGTGGACAGTTGGATATGTAGGCACAATGGAACCTCCAGAAGATGTCTTTATTAATAAGAGCTGCCCTGCACTGCTCACCGTCAACCACAAGAGCTGTGATGGGATAACCTGGCTGCTACCACTGCTTTTTCTAAGTAAAGGTGCCCATGCACCTTACGATTATCGGACAAAACTTTTCGTCCGATGATCGAATAGTCGTACGATTTTCGTACAACGGCCCCATCATGCCCCGATTATCGCAAGGTTCATTCAGCGGTAGTTAAAAAAAAACACCTGGACGACTTGCTGTAATTGACCGCAATTATTTTAGTTTGCGCATGAGCAGTGTTAATCGTACGACTGACGGACGGAAACGCCACCAACCATGCGAACATCGTACGATCGACCAAAGTTTTCATACATGCTTGACCGTCAAAAGTCGTACGATTGTACAGTACTATCGGTCGGGCACTCTATTCACGTTACGATTGCCGTATGAAAAGTCGATCGCATACGATTATCGTACGATAATCGTAAGGTGTATGGGCACCTTAAGGATCAGCACTGATCACATCAGCTGGGTTATGTAGCATAACCTGGGTTGTAGAAACGCAAGGCTTGTTAGGGCTGCAGAACGTTTCAGATATGCACCTAACACTGGACCCAAAAGTTAGAACCCTTGTCATTATTTTTCTGTCTGTGTCTCCCTGCTGCAGATTTTCCCTCACTTCCTGTCCTGCTAAAAAAGTTTTCACCAGAAAGGAAGGGTAAAACTCTCATATAGCTGTAAAGAGGTTTACAAATTAGCAACTATGACATCTACATTATGAAGTATGAAGGACTACCTAAAGAATCCATTACATTTATTTTTTGCAATATGTATGTGTTTGTAAATTTAAAAGAGACTGCTGAATCAGATATTCAGGTTGTAACCTGTTTGTTTTTCCATTGGCTCCTTTAGGGCCTGTTTGATGCATTGAAATACATGTGCCATAACGCACTTTGAGGTGCATTGCAGAGCATTGATTCCAAATGGGCTCCAATGCTGAAAATTTCGATCCTAATATATTTTTGTAATGAATTGCATTACACGATGTGCATTGTGGTGCACTGCATCACTGCTGCATTTTGTAAATGCATTGCTTTGCCATTTAATGCAACATTGTATTATGACCGGGCCCCTATTACCTAGATGTCTGTGTGTTGGGTTTATGCTATGGAGCATGGAAGAGGGAGGCACATGCATACACCCTTCAAGTACTGGTTTATCTTGGGGTATGCAATAGTGATTGGACAAGGCTTTTTAACCTGCCCAATCACCATCTCTCCTGAGCTTTTCTGGCTTATGGAATGTAGGTCTATAGTCAGCTTTAGAATGACTCTTACCTTTTGTTTTTAAAACTGTAGAATCCAGTACATAGACAAGGTCATATTTGCCACCAACGCTTCCAGCGACTGCGAAATGGGTGCCGTACATTTCCAGAATGGAAAAATATTCTGCCTTTTCATAAAAAGATGGCAGGTTGTTCACATCATCAATAAAAGTTTGGGACAGAACAGAACCCCGAGTCCTCATCTGAAACATTGCCAGCTCTACATTTCCTGATATCCGCAAGAATTTCTTGTTCTGTAAAGAAAAACAGATGTTTTGTTAATGGATATTAAATAACACATGTGTAATCTGGTAACAGACATAATGCTGGAGCAGAGCGTCAGTGGTGTACATCCATGGTTCTTCATTCTGCCATAAGCCATGACGGGAGCAAACCTGTATTTTGTTTGGATTGGGCAGATCATTTAATATGGAGCACCACAAGAAGTTTGCACGTACTCTCCATTTATGTTGCTTCAACATGTTGATAAACTGTTACTTCCAGGTATGGGGGTATTGCCACCCCCACATCTCTTTCCGGCTTCCTTCAGTGCAGTGTTTGGTACCTAAGCATCCAATCAATAGGCCCAGATGGTGTCACATGGGAAGGGGGAAGTGCATAGTCACATGTTAGTTGAGGATTACTAGGAAACTTTGGACTGGGGGACAAACAAAACCAACTATTCTTTTCATGGTAGGTGTAGATTTATGTGGGCAGCTTTACTACTAAAGGTTTCCGAAGTTCCATTGGCCCAATTTATGTCTGGGTAATTGAAGTCACCCATCACGACTACATTGCCATTGGCATGATGCCATGCCATGACATGATGTTGTGTTGGTTGTTGGCCTTAGTGAAATTTGGGTGTTCGCATAGGTTGTGGTTTATTGTGATACACCTTCAGCATTGTCTTCCTTTGCATCGTTCACATGACATCTCGGAGCTGCAAAGGAAGTTGGTGCTGGAAGACAGCCCTCTGCTAGGCACTCTGGTGGGTGTAGGTTTCTATATAATACTGTGACTGCAGGTTCTGCTCTGATTTTTGTCAAAAAAGTTAATTATCTCCACTCTGAGACACCAGCCAAATGTTTCTTATTAGTACAGCCCCGGGTGGGTACCACCCCCGAAGTCCATTCCTCCTCTGCTTCTTAGGTGCTGCTATGGCAGACTGGGGCAGTTGGGAAACTATAGAGGCACGATATAAATGTGTTGAGTCATAGGCCCTGAATAATCAAGCAAGAAGTGAAGTCAGAGTAACTTTAGAATAATCAATTTGCCTACATGATCATTGACTCAGAAATAAGATTGCCACTTTTTCATTGTAAAACAAAAACCCACCTTAATCTGTTTTTATGAATACCTTTAGCAACAAATCCCATTTTCATCCAGGACAGTGAAATACCATTCAGGTAGCAACCCTCCTTTTGACGCCAGAGGGTAATCCTTAAAGCCATGGGTCTAGCAATTTCAGAATGAGATGACAATGGCACCTCCTGTATTTTTTCAAAATAAGGTCTTTTTAATGCTCTACAAATAAAAATGGTAAAAAAAAAAGTTTTCCTTGCGCATTAAGGCCAACTGGTCTTGTGTCTCCGCTGCTCATCTGGAAGTCATGCTGGAATGTTTCAGGATCCTTTGAGGACCCTGTGATGGACTTATTTAGCAGGCATAGAGTATTTGGGGCATGCCTTCGGAGGAGTCATGTTGTTTAAAAGGTAAGTGAGGGAGAAAGTGCAGCCCCAAAGATGCAAAGAAAACCGGATATTAACAGCATGGATGATTGTGAGTTAAATCTCTGAGTGGAGGCCCAGCATGGTGTGTCTTACACCATCAATGGTCAAGCCATGCTGTGATGGACACTTCTGGGTTATAGCAGCCAATGGCCAGCGCCCAAGTCACCAGGAAGAGTTTTACTGTCTGGAAATGTGGACACTGGAGGTCAGATCCTTCCACGGTACACCTGGGACTTGACCTGCCACATGACTTCAGATTCAGGCAAGAAAAAGGGCCTTTTTTGTATGTAAGAAATGTACAGGGGGTGGAATGGGAGAGTATTTTTTCTTGCATGGCATTTGCAGCAGTTATACAAAGTTTTTAGTGAAAAGATTGTACACAGTAACTTGTGTTGGGGTCACCTGGTTTTCACTGTTTTACATACAACTTTGTTCGCGACAAAATATTAATTCACAGTTCTTCCTACGCGCAAACATACATCCGTCCACTGAACACATGCATGACCCTGTTCCTGACGTTGCTTACTCTGTGGCAGCAGGACATGGGCAATTTATATGTTCCGCAGGCTGATTGTTACTACATGGAGGGCCTGGAAGGCAGATGACTCTCTTGTAATATTGATGTGTCTTACCTGATCTAATTTGTACTCCTTGAGCTGTGTAATACTTTCTTTTTTTGTCTTATTGATTCCAATTTCTCCACCAACGGAAATTTGGCCACCTTGGCCACCATCTTGACCTGCTCCAGCCTCTTTGACAGCACCCTTATCTACTCCAACACTCTCGGCAACAGCCTTATCTCCTGCAGCGTTTTTGTCACCACCATTTTTGTTTAGTTCAGTTGGCGTGAGTTTGAAGGACAATGATGCCTCAAAGCTTTCTGTGCTCTCCGTCAAAACCTTTTCCACCACAGAAGCAGAGTCAGAGTACGTTTCTGATGTGAAAGACTTGTCAGCTACAGTCTGGGGATATTAGAGAAATAGTAAAAGGAAAATTACAATATGTTTGGGAATACAAACTGCAAACAAAGCCGAAATGAACTTTCAGTTTGAATCTGCTAAATACATTCCAGGTACATCAAAGCAATAGGTATGTCAAGTCTTACAGTTGATTTTCTTTACAAAGCAGCCGTAGCCTAAGCATGCTGTAGAGCAGGACCCTTGCTCTCTTTGTGAAATCAGTGGTCTCTCTGCAGAGGTCCAACACCCTCCACGCTTAGTCCATCTACAGCATTGGACTATTATCAATGTTATTATGGATATAACAAAAGGATTTGTTTGATTTATGTTTTCACGGTCAAAGTTTTTTGTTGACGTTTTAAATATTCTGTATTTATGCAAGAACATGCAGCATAGAAAAGTCATTTGTCAATATATTTTTTTTTCAAGGAAGGGTATCTGGAGCCTAGCGCAACACTGTAGCTATTTTGTTTTTTAGGTGTTTTCACCGAGGTTTTGTTGCAGCTGGTAACATTCACTCACATAATTCCTAGCGCAGCCTTCACTGATATCATCTACAGCAGATCTCGGATCGTGACCCCCCTGTTCACTTGCGGGACCCCATATGGGGTCGCGACCCACACTTTAAGAAGCACTGATCTACAGCAGTGCGATCAGCAAAGGTCATCCTTCCTGCTACAATCATTATGTGCATATTTTCTTTCTTTAGTTATTAAGGTCAGAAGTAAAAATATAACCTACGTTTTAAGTCAAGTAAATATTGAATACTGCATAAGAATACCGAATGAGGATATCCAGCCTGCAGGTGTAATTTTTTTGCTCCTTTTTCTAAGTTTTCCACTTTCTGCGTGTCTTTTGTTATAAAAAGCCTGTCGTTTACAGAGCACAGAAGCTCAAGCTAAAAGTTACACACAACTGAATGAGATGGAGCAGTTCTGCTCCCCACACAATGATCCTCCTTCTTTATGGCTTTGTAGCTTCTGTTGTGGTTTCTCTTTAAATAACCCATAGTGATCTGGAAATTGTTTGCCATGTAATACAGGTTTATTTGTAAAACAAAGACTGAACATAAAGCAAATATATTTATATACACTGTATGTGTAATATATATATATATATATAATTAGGGATTTATATATATATATATATATATAATCCAAAAAGTCCATCTGCAGCAATGAAAGCAGAATTTATCTGTGACATCCACATATCAAAAAATACAATGGTTTCAGATCGAAACTGGTCCTTCTTCAGGTCGGGCATGAATGATTATACAGCTTCAAAACCAACAATATATATTACAGGGGCAGAGCCACACATTCATGGCAAATTCAAAAAATATCTGGATCCTGTGGGAGAAGGAGTCCAGTATTCAGGTAACAGGGGAAGCCATTGGGGGGGGGAGTTGGGGAGTGCTGTGTATCTAGCTTGTGTGAGGTGACAATTAATATGGGTATAACATGAAACATGGTCAGAAAGATAGAGTTACTGTTTAAACACACATTAAAATAATATTGATTCACAGGCATTATAATTTCCCTTTAACTGACCTTAAAGGCCAAGTTTGTCTGGCTCCTGACCTGGCTTGCTCCTGACCATTCTTGGTATTCTCCAGTGTAGCACCACGCTCAGTTGGCACCCAGGATTCTATACCGTCACCACCGTGCTGCTCTTGCACCTCAGGGGTCCACAGACGGAACCGCAAGGGAGGTCCTTCTTATCACTTCGGGCCCGCACCACGGTACGTAACACAGTCAATCGAGTAGCGGCGCCGATGGGGCCCCAGCCTGCAACGATACAGCTGGATTGGCAATGCTGGAAACCAGCACAGCTAGGGCCAGGCCTCCTCCTCGCCTGTCACCAGCGGCCGATACTCATGTAAGGGTCCCAGGCTGCCCAGGCCCCTTACATGAGTATCGGCCATACCCCCCTGATGGCAGCCCTGGACAGAGCTTGTACAGAGGCACGGAGTTTCAGTTAGGAGAGATGGGGGAAGAACAGCTCGACTTCAAACTGCAGTAAATCCAAAGTATTTTTTTATATATTATTAATTATGCATTTCATAAATTTTTGCAAAAGGTGATGCAAAAGGTGAGCTTATCCTTTAATCAGGGTGAGTTGTCCACATATACTCTATGGGGTTTCCACGAGCGAGCACATGCATAAAATAATGTACCACGTGTCCCATCGTGTATGCTCCTAAGAAACGTATGAAGCCCTCGCTCTAAAACATGACCTCTATTCTGAAAAACTAAGCTCTATCAGTCACTGCAGGGTCCTGGGCATGAAAGAATGCTGCCCATTGACCAGCAGTGCCTGGGTGGGAAGCAAACCTTGCAGATATAAACTAAAGACAGCATCAGGCACTTAACAGGGAGAGGGGGGTATTAATTAGTATATATGCCTTCTCCTTACCCGATAAATAAAACTTGCGGAATTCCATGGCAAGCGATAATATGTTCTTGTGGAACTATCACGGACTCGACTACAAAGTCCATTAAAATTTTCATTGTCAAAAGGGTTTGCCCTTGTGTCCATTCCAAGAATATTGATTCTGAAAGAAATATATAAAATACAATGTTGAACTTTCGCCTTCCTCTAGCGAAATAAACACTGCATCAATAAACAGAAATACAAGTAGTGATGATTATCTGCAACTAGAGTTTACTTTACATTGAAACACCTCACCTGGCCTAAAACATTTCTAAGACAAGAACATGTCGTCAGGCATGTCACCCTGCTGATGGAAAGTGGAAAATCAATGGATTTACTGGTTAGAAAAGCAGTTAATAAGACTATGGGGGTTATTCACAAAGCTGCCGAAGGCAGCCGAGTGAATAACCCAGCCGAACTGAAGTGAGCCGAATGCTGTTTGACTATTCTGCCGAATGCTGTTTGACGTACATCGGCTGCCTCCGGTCAGCCGAACATGCTCTGCATGTTTGGCTGGGCCAAAGTGCAGAAGGACTTCGACTCAGCTGATGTAAATTATAGACGGAAAGACATAACAAAACAATTAAAAAGCGATTTTTTTCTGTTTTGAACATTGCTCATTTTAAAACAATTAGGGGGTTATTCACGTAGGAGCCGAAGGCAGCCGAGTGAATAACCAAACCGAAGTGAACAGAGCCAAATGACGCTCGGCTATTCACTCAGGCTCAGTACGGCCGATTTCAGCCCTACATCAGCTGCCTTTGGTCAGCCGAACATGCTCTGCATGTTCGGCTGAGCCGAAGTGCAGAAGGACTTCAACTCAGCTGATCCAACATCTGGATCGGCTGAGCCGAAGCTCCGGCAGCTCACTCCCTTTCGCTCGCCTCTATTCTCATAGGGGCCAAACAGCAGTGTTTGAATAGCCGAATACCACAGAGCGCCATTTGGCTCGGCTAATCTTCTCGGTACCACGCAGGTACAGGAATAGAAAATAAGTGAAAAGAAAGAACAAAAAAAATAGTTGGAAAAATATTTAAAAAATGTAAACAAATAGTCAAATAAAAAAATAAATAAAGATATTTTAAAGAAAAGAAAAAAAAAACTATTGGGCGGAACTAGCGGTGACAGCTATCTTCGCCCAACTGTTTCCTATTGGCCGGCACCTGCTAGAGTCTTCTAGCAGGTCCTGGCCAATGAATAACAACTGTGCAGAGGTGGTCATGACAGCTCGCCCAGTTGTTATTGTTTAATGACAGATCAGCATCCCCAGGTCATTTGGGGACGTGATATGTCATTACAACTGGGCGGAGCGAGCCGTGAGATTATTGGTTCCGCCTAGCTGTCATTTGCGGGGCGAACGGCCGGCCCTTAGGCAGCTTGTTAGCCCTGCTTCGGCTGTCACTTCAGCTCAGACGAGCCAAAGCATATGCCTTTGGCTTGGCTGAGCCGATCGGCCACCTTCGGCTGCTGTACGGGCTATTGTGAATAGCCCGTACAGCAGCCCTTCGGTTCAACTGAACAAAAAGGCTCGGGCGGCCGAAGAGAGCCGAAGGATCAGCCGAAGCTACGGCTGTATCCCTCGGCTCAATAGTGAATAACCCCCTAAGTTACAGGGACAAAATACCAAAAAACTGATGTGTCATACGTGTAATTTTTTATTTTGCCCGAAGTTCTACTTTAGTCTCAAAGGAGAACTATGAGGTGAGTGCTTTTCACTCACCTCATAGTTCTAGCCGACCTGTGACAATGAGACTGTCACAGGCCGCATAGTAGTTTGGGATGTGAGCGAACACATACCGGGTTCGCTCGCCTCTCGATCCTGTCACGGCTCTCTGCCGTGACAGGGGGAGGGGCTGGATTCCCCTCTCCCTGCTCCGATCTGCCAGCGCTGACTGGCGGAACGGACGGGGGAGGGGGCGGGTACAGCTGGCTCTGCCTCTAGATAGGCAGAGCCAGCTGTCACTCACACAGCTGGGCGGATCCCGTCATCTAAGTCGGGATCCACTCCGGCTGCGGCGTCTCAGTACAGCTCGCGGTATACTGAGCTTAGGGTAACGGGAGGACGCTAGTTTGTGTCCTCCCGTTACCCTAAGGAGAACTATGGGGAAAAACACTGACCCCATAGTTCTCCTTTAACTGCGGCAGAAGTCCAAGTTCAGTGTTCACAAAAAGAATGTTGTGGACCTGGAGAGAGTGCAAGGAGGGTAACTAAACTGATTAGTGGCACAGAGGACACTCCATGAAGGACCGAGAGCCCGACAGTTGCATGAGAGAGGAGGGGACCCGGCAACGTAACTTTTCCTGCTGGGTGTACGTCCTCTCCTGCCAACAGGTAAGCGCGCATGATGCTATCATGCACATGCGTGCTGACGACATCACGCCCTTGCGCTATCACGTCCCAGCGAGGTGTCACCCAGTGGCTGCTCTGGGTGACACAATGCCCCTGGGTAGAGAAAAGTGTTCCAGCACCAACTTCCATTGATGCCTAAGATTTTGTAAGACTAAATGAAAAGAATAGTGGTTAATGTGTTGTGCTCATTTGTTTAAGGAAGCTGATTGAGAAAAACTATTGGTGTTTATTATAGAGTAGAAGTCATCTTGTTCAGTTCATAAAGTACTTGTACATTGTTTCCAATTCATGCCTTCTTTAAAGAGACTCTGTCCTGAGATACAGGTCTTCAGTCCCAGTCCTGGAACAAGAATGCTTGACATGATTGCCAAAAAAGTGCCCACTTATCTTTGTACCTGTTCCGGGTCAGCTATTCAAACAGCACTGAAGTCCAATTAGCGGAATGACAATGAGGGAATTAGCATTCTCGTTGGAAAGTTCAGTAATGGCAGCCACCATCAATATCTTGTGACAGTGTCCTGATAAGACAACACTATCCTTTTCCTATGGCCACCAATTACCACGGCACCATGGGATATTTCGTGTGTTGGACTTTGTTAAGCCTAGAGAAATCTGTCCCTACCACAAAAGGTCCACTTGGTTTTGTTTGCCTCTTAGCTGAAAAATTCACAATCCTTTCTTGAATGTCATATTGTTGGTAGCCAACCAACAAAAATAAGAGCAACAGGTGATGTGGAAACCTGGATATTCATCCACAATGTAGACCTGCTATTGGGCTGGTTGCTTATCAGGAGGTTCCTTAATAATTAGCCTAATTACCATAAAGAGACAGGGGTGCCGTTACAACATTTAAAGGAGAACTATGGGGTTAGGGCTTTTCCCCATAGTTCTCCTAAGGGTAACGGGAGGACACAAACTAGCATCCTCCGGTCACCCAAAGTTCAGTATACCGCGAGCTACAGATCGCGGTACACTGAGTACACTGAGACGCCGCAGCCGGAAAGGATCACGACAATTCTGTCTGGATCCACCCAGCTGCGTGAGTGACAGAAGTGAGCGAGCGCCGGTATGTGTTCGATCACTTCCCGATCTACTGAGCCGACCTGTGACAGTTTCATTGTCATAGGTCAGCACAGATTATGAGGCCGAGTGAAAATTACTCCCCTCATAACTCTCCTTTAACATTGCTGGAGGGCTATTCGTATGTCATTACATACCCGCTTCCTGATGTTCTGGCTGGCTCAGACAGTTCCAGGACATCAGGACGACAGACAGGTTTGGGGTCTCTGTCCTCACACTCTTCATCAGAAAAATCACCACAGTCATTGTCAACATTACACTTCAGCCTCTGCTTTATACACCTTCCTGTAAATGTAAACAAGAGGGGGGAAAATGACATTGTAATAAGTACTATATTACCATGTTACATTTTCTAATTATGCGTTGTTCCAGAAGTGCTGTTCTAAAACATGATTACCTTGTGCCGGGTATACAGAGACTTAATTTAATAACAGATTTATCAAAACATTGAACAGGAAAAGGCAACTTATAGACATTCCGAACATATAATTTATTCCCATTGCCAGGGGTAAGCAAAGTACACACTCTCCATAGAATAGAAAGGAAATTGTGGGGCATGCATGGATAAGAGGAGCCACAGCAGACTTGAAGAAGAGGAGCCACAGCAGACTTGAAGAAGAGGAGCCACAGCAGACTTGAAGAAGAGGCTGACAGTGAAGATCTCAGTGACAGGAGTGGGGCTAGGGGAGCACCTGCATTCCTTTCCCCTGCTGTTTTTATTAGAACATGGAATTTGGGATTGGTATCAGCCCACTTAAACTCCTGGCACTGGCAGAGCACCCGCAAAAAAAATGCTCGAACCATGCCTGTGCAGCGGAGTGGGGACAGGTAAGTACAAAACTCTAAGAGGGGGTACAACCGAATCACTGCATAGCACAGTAAAGTCTTCTTAAAACAGAAGGTATTCACGTGTCTCATTGCATCACATATCCCAAAGATGAGAGGATTATTACTCATTTCAGGACAGTGGGTGGAGTCAGTCAAATCTTTGCTTTACGCCCCATTGGCCCAATACAGGCCAGATACAGAACCACTGTATCCAGCTGCTTCAGGCTATTTGGCCATCATCAGTGTTCACTCAGAGGTATGAGTCACACTGTGGCTTGTTAAATATTTTGAATATTCCAACATTAATGTGGTCACACTGCCATGATTCTTGACTCTGTACACACTTGGGATTTTTGGGCACCCACCTTAGTGTGTTCCAGCACATTAAAGCCTCAAGGACAAGCCATGAAGTCTCGATAGGTCACAAGCCCCACACCACAGAAGTCATGGTTTCCATACTCTGCTGTGATGATGGCCAAACAGCTGTATGGAGTAGCCTAATAAATGGCTTTATAATATTGGGCTATATTTGCACTGTACTTCTTCAGTAGTTCTGTATGTACATCTAGCGGAAGGGGCGAAAAACAATGATTTGCACAACTCCACCTTCTGATTTCCTTTGGCAAATACTACTTGCCTGGAGCATGTAGATGGAAAGTCATACTCATTCAGGGCCAGTGGCTCAGTTGGTTTTGAAGACAAAGGATCATTAAGAAAGACAATAACTGGTAAGTGTAGAGGGGGAGTCAGGAATGACAGCCTTCCTTTTTTTTGTACCCAAAGTTTTCTTTACCACAGTTGTTTTTGAAAAAGGCATACAATATGTCATAAAATATGTGTAATATGCATAGTCAATATAAGGAAACCTTAAGGGACCGTAATATACAGGGGTACGGGTACTCCTAGAATGAGATCCTAATAGGTTGGACTTGATGGACTAATGTCTTTATTCAACCTCAAATACTATGTAATTGTATCCCTGAAAAGCTAACAACATGTATTTTACCATTTTCGCACTGGAAATCGTTGCCACAGTCGATTGGTTTCTCCTCGCAGTGTTTATCCGATACACATTGCTTGACTTCTCCTAAATTGCTCAGACAAGGTTTCCCACCAAACTGGCCAAACTTCACAATACTCCGAGAGCGATACTAAAGAGATAGGAATCCTCAGTGAGCACCTTCAGGTTTTGTTAGTCAGGCAATCACACATCAGTGAGTTTGTCATGTACTTTAGTTACTGCTCAGAATTAACAAAAACAATTACCCTTTGTTTTGTACATGGCTCACACTCAGTCCATTCGCCCCAGGAGCTCAGCAGGCAGTCTATTGGTGGTGGGGCACCAGTTTCTCTTAGAGGCCTAAAAGAAGAACATTATCAGTAATTTGCCTACACCAACATACACATCTTTTTAAAGAGAGTGGTATGTGTTTGGGTGTCACTTCCATATTTAAAACATCTGTTTTTTGAACAATATCATTTAAAATATACATGGGTGCATCTATCTGTCAGTGCTGAATGACTGACATCAATGTGGATGGATTTCTATCCTAGAAGGTGTTGATTCTGAATGTTGCATGACTGCATTGAAATACAGATAGCCATAGACACTAAGAAGAGTATTTATACATGTAATGCAGTTATGGAAATATGTTACATCAGGCATGTAAAAGTTAAATAAATATTATTCAGAATTAGACATTATGACAATAAGTCAAATTATGTGATCACTGAACAAACGCTGAAATTTCCCTTTAACCCTGTTACTGCCACCAACGTAAGCACTATGGTGGGCAGTAACAGGTAGTAAATAAGCTCAGCAGTGACCTTGTTTTTTAATTATTCAGCAGGCTGCAGGCTTTTTGGCAGAAGTGTTTTAGGTGGTTGTAAAGCCTCACAAACACTTTTACATAACTGTAAATGTAAACTACCACCCCTGTCTCATGATCTCTGGGCTCCAAGGAAAAGCATATGAACCTGGGAATCATGAGGCAGGGTGATGGGTACATTTTTACAGTGATATGGAAGTGATCAAGTGGCTTTCAAGATCACAAAAAAGCCTTAAGAATATGTCCTGATGTCCACTGCTGAGCATGAGACTATGAAGACCCCTGATGTCTCTATAAAGAGATCCTGGTATGTCCTATATGCCACATATGGGACATGTCAACCCTCTTGTGATAGTAACAAAGTTAAGATAAATAACAAAAAAATGATGGACCCCATCCCCTGCTCACATACTCATATGCATAGAATAACATGTGTGAAAAATTACACAGTAAAGTTGGTCTGGCAATATGGTTTCAAAAAGAAGCAAATTTACCAAAACTGAGCTTAAGGCAATGGCTATTCAGTACATAATATCAGAAATCACATTTTACCAGAATGAAAGAACAATAGATACACAATACCCACAACTTGCAGATACAATGGCATAGCTCACAACTATCTTTTATTTTAAGGCAATGCCCCACTTTAAAAAACAAATCTCTCTTTCCTCTGTGGTATTACTCTAAAACTTTTATTTCAAAAACTAAATGATTGCATTTGGTGTAAATGAAATGCAGTGGGGAAAAAATTTACTTTTGGGTTAAAGCAATAATTTTTTGCTGATTAATTTTTCATAGTCCGTGTATCTTGGGACATGGCAAGGGTATGTCTTTTACCTACATACTTAGTGCTTTACGTGTCCCTCTGATTTTAGAAGGTTGGGATGTATGCATTAGGAAAACCATCAACAACTGAATGAAAATATGTAGGACAACCCATAGAAAAAAAACATTCATAACCCAACAAATTGACAAAATAAGGGCTTCTTTACACGGGACTGCAAAAGCAGCTCAAAGCGGTTTAGAAATAAAGCGGCTCATAAAAAACTCCAAAGCGCCCCAAACGCATCTTTAATGCAAGATAAGTGTACCTGAAAGAAGTCTGCATTTGTTCATCAGCACAAGTCCTAAGTGTACTCTTATACATTAAACTACAGGGCTGACCTGACTGTACTCATAAATTTGCAAGGTTGGTCCTACAGGGTCAAAGCAGGAGGTGAAAGGCAGAGACAGACACTGCTGTGTCTTTCCTAAGGTGAGAACTTTGTAACCTGCCTAATTGACAGGGCAGCTTTTGGCACAGTTGGCATGCATCTATATGCAGTAGATGCAAAGAATTGGATTTCCCGTGTTGTATTTTGTTTTCTCATTATTAGTAGAAACAGCCATCTCAATAGATCGTTTTCTTGTTTGCCTGGTATGTGAAAAAGGTGCTTCCTTAGAAAAAAGTTGTGTGCCTATAGGCCCCAGTGATAAAAATCTGGCCCTATTGATTGACCTTTCCCACAAGAGTTCCTAGACCTAGGTATCTGTTCGCCACTATAGACATGAGATCTTCACTTCATCTGGCTGAGAATGATCATGTCAAGAAAATCTCCTCTTTATGAGCCTCCCAAATGACTAACTTGGTCTTTATCTGCTGCTAGTCTTCTGTGGAGGAGATTGTTAGTCACACAGGCACTGCTTACATAAATATGCACCATTTTCCCCCCCTCCTCCATTGCCTGAAAAAGAACAAAGCATAGTGAAGGAGAGATTGAAACTAATCTGCTTACCTTACATTCCCTGATACCGAAGCTGGCCAATGTATCGTACATAGCACTGAGATGAGTCCCAGGAGAGGAAGATGTGTAACCATGGTGGCTAGGAAGAGGATACTGGAGACAAGCTGAAGAATTCTGCTATTTATCTGTTTGTTGTTGTTACTCAATAACTGAAAGATAAACAGAGAGTTGGATGTCATGAGGGCCACTCCAGTTGTAAACCTTGCCAATTGTATTTCAACACCTGCAATATTTGTAAATGGATTTCGCTTCTAGTGAGTGATGCAATGCAATGGTACATGTGGCAGTGGGCCAAAAATACTCATCTGTCCTTGCAATAAGTTATATTAGACATAGCGCTACTTATATCCAACCTGGTGGATGGAGGAAATACTAAACAGCCATAAGAGTAACGCAGCGCACAGTACAAACTCCCAGGACATACCACTTACCTACACATGTGCCTCTCCTGTGGCACTCATTCAATTTCTCCATTTCCTGGTAGTGAACTTGCACAATTACTGCACCATCCTATAATGAAATGCCTAGTGACAGAGTGGCCTACTAGCTGCCCATTTGAGGGATTTGTTTTGGAAAGAATCAGAACTTTTTTTACTGCTCTGCTAGAAAGTTTCTCCTTCACTTAGTTTATCTGTAAGACTGTAACAATAATTTCACCAGACAGGAAGAGAGGGAAAATCTCCAACAACAAAGACAGAAACATGTATTTTTCCGAATAAAGTAAGAGAGAATCAACTTTTGATGGCTTCCAGTGATAAACCTGTCCCACACTGATTCCTCATGAGTCTTTTTGAATAGTGAGCGCATGACCAGCAGTGATGCCAAGTATACCAGGTAATAAAAAATAGCCAGGTTCCCTCACCACTACTTCGGTCACCCTCTTGCTTTATCCTACACACTCTTACTCACATTTTCAATGTTTCCCCCTCTACTGGCATCTTTCCCTCTCCTCTAAAACATGCACTGGTCACCCCGATACCCAAAAAACCCTCACTGGACCCCACCAATCTTCTTACTCCCATTCACCACCAAACTCCTAGAACGCCTAATCTACAACCGCCTGAGCGGCCACCTCACTGATGACAACCTCCTCGACCCCTTACATTCTGGCTTTCGCCCCTAATACTCCACTGAAACTGCCCTCCTAAAACTCAGTAATGACTCATTAACTTCTAAAACCAATTGCCACTACGCCTTACTCTTGCTATTAGACCTTTCTGCTGCTTCTGACACAGTTGGCCACCCAATGCTCCTCAAAAAACTCCACTCCCTTGGCCTCCAAGACTCTGCTCTCTCATGGTTCTCTTCCTACCTATCTATTCTTTAGTGTCACCTACAAATCTAACTTCTCCCCTCCTCATCCTCTTTCTGTAGGGGTCCGTTAGAGGGTATTATTCATATAGGGATCATGTATGAATGTGAAGAACATAAGTGATGATTGATTTTCTATATAGTCATTTGTTCAGTTAAGGAATATAAGCAATCTGAATGATAAAAGTCCATGGTTTTAGTTGTCTAGAAAGACGTATTTGCTGCACATATGTTATTCAACAATCATGATGGTAGAGATGGCTAGAACCTCCCACATTCCTAATTACTTAGGGAAACAGTGTGAGAGTTGCTTTGTAGAATATTCTAAATCAAAGTTTATGAAGTGTTTACAAACTATGAATTATATTTCTTTACTGTAATATTTCTTGATTAAGTTATTCATAAAAGAAAGAATATTGAATTATGTATAAATATTGATACTTGCAACATTATATGGTTTATATGATAGTTGAATGCATTTGAACTTGTAGTTAAAATGAGGGAAAAGGTAGGGGCATTTCTTTCCCCCCATCCCCCCTCATTCCTACCAGTAGTCTAAGAGTTTTAAGATTTCAGTTAAAGTCTATGGTGTACGTTTAATAAACTGTGAAAGAGTGTGATAAGCAGTGAGAAGGCTTTTCTCACCTTAGCAAAGTGAAAAGTCTAGAAAATGCTGTTTAATAACCCGTGATAAGTCAGGTAGGAACTGAAATATCTCACCTCTTCTGATCCTGGTGATAAGTACACACAAAGTAATGGGAATGTACCTGTTTAATAAAGGGAGAAAAGTAGAGAACAGCTTTATCACTGGATAAGTATTGTGCAAAGTACCCTTGATTTAGCACCCTGTCAGACCTGGTGATAAAGGCCTTTTTCTCCAGAAGCACTGAGCAAAGATACAGGAACTTGTCTTACAGCTGTTTCATGTGATAATTTTTCTTTTCGCAGGTTATTAAACAGCCTCTGTGCAGCCGAGAAAAACAAAGAGATCTGCTGAGTAAAGTTAACTCGTGATAAAGCTAGTTTTATCACAGTTTATTAAACGTACACCAAAATGTCCCAGAGAAGGGTGGGACATGCACACAAAGGAAAGAGGGACCTATTCACATTCTGAAGCATTCTTACATGCAGACACATGAGTCAGACACACATACAAATACTTTAAGCTCTTACAAGAACTTCTTAAAGCATCTACATAACTTTATATATTTTGTTTTATGCCAATTATCTTGTAATCATTTGTATCTCTGTAATTAAACACATTTTTGAGTTTTATGCAAGAACGGAAGTAAATTTTATCTTTTGACTTCTTCCACCCTACATCTTTAACACAAATTAATATATTAAAAATCCTATTCTACAGGGTCCCCCAAGGCTCTGTCCTTGGACCCTTTTCTCTTTTATATCTACACCTCCTCCGTTGGTCAATTGATAACCTTGCATGGCTTTCAATACCATCTGTACACCGATGACACTCGAACATGTCTCTCCACTCCAGAACTCACCCCTCCGTGCCCTTGCGTGTCACTAATTTACTAACTGACATATCGGTCTGGATGTCACAACACTTCTTAAAACTCAATTTTTCAAAAACTGAGCTCATGGTATTCCCTCCCGCCCCTGTACCTTCCCCCAACCTTTCCATTGAGATTGATAACACAACTATCCCTCCCTCCCCCCATGCCAAGGTTCTAGGTGTCATCCTTAACTCGGACCTCACCTTTCTACCCAACATCCAATCTCTATTCAAATCCTGCCGCCTTCACCTTCATAACATCTCCAAAATACGCCCCTTCCTCACCAATAAAACCACAAAGCTGCTCATCCACTCACTTGTTATCTCTCGTCTTGACTATTACAACTCCCTCCTCATCCACCTAACCAACTGCTCAGTTTCAGCTACTCCCCTCTGCCAATCCCTGTACTGGCTTATATCCCCCGCCCCCCTCTGCTAATCCCTCCACTGGCTTCCAATCGCTCAAAGGATAAAATTCAAAATATTAACAACCATTTACAAAGCCATCCACAACTCTGCCCCTGATATATCTCCAACCTTGTCCTTGTCTCCACTCCTCCCAAGAACTCCTGCTCTCTAGCTTTCTTGTCAACTCTTCCCATGCTTGTCTGCAGGACTTCTCTAGAGTTTATCCTATCCAACTCCTTGCCCCAACCTGTCCATCTGTCTCCTACTCTGACTGCCTTTAGGTGATCCCTAAAGACTCTTCTCTTCAGGGAAGCCTATCCCTCCTCAACCTGACCACTGAACTATCACTTTCTCAAACAATTTATACCCACACAGCTACCTCCTCATGAGGGATTTTGGTCCACTCTTCTTTACAGATATTCTCTAAATCCTTAAGGTCTCTTGGCTGTCGCTTGGCAACTCGAAGTTTCATCTCCCTCCATAAACTTTCTATAGGATTAAGGTCTGGAGACTGGCTAGGCCACTCCATGACCTTAATGTGCTTCTTCTTGAGCCACTGCTTTGTTGCCTTGGCAGTGTGTTTTGATTCATTGTCATGCATAAAGACCCATCCACGACCCATCTTCAGTGTTCTGGCTGAGGGAGGAGATTTTCATCCAAGATTTTACAATACATGGCCCTGTCCATTGGCCCCTCAAAGTTGTCCGGTACTTTTCGCAGAGAAACAGCCCCAAAGCATAATATTTCCACCTCCGTGCTTGACTGTGGGGATGGTTTTCTTAGGGTAATAGTCAGCATTTTTCTTCATCCAAACACAGCGAGTCGGGTTAATGCCAATGAGCTCAATTTTGCTCTCATCTGGCCACAGCACTTTCTCCCAATCCTTCTCTCAATCATTTAGATGTTCATTGGCAAACTTCAGACGGGCCTGTACATGTGCCTTCTTGAGGAGGGGGACTTTGCGGGCGCTGCAGGATCTCAATCCATGGCAGTGTATTGTGTTACCAATGGTTTGTTTGGTGACTGTGGTGCAAACTGCCTTGAGATCATTCACAAGCTCCTCCCCTGTAGTGATCATCCTTACCCCATGAGGCAAAATCTCGCCTTGAGCTCCAGACTGAGGGCAATAGCCTTGTAGCCCATTCCAGCCTTGTGCAAGTCTACAATCTTGTCCCTAACAACAGACAGCTCTTTGGTCTTGCCCATGGTGGTGAGGTTTGAATGGAAGAAAGAGATTCTGTGGGCAGGTGTCTTTTATATACATAACGAGTTGTTGTTAGGAGCACCTACTTACATTGACAGAACTAATCTGTGTACCACATAGCCAGTCTGTGGGAGCCAGAATTATTGTTGGTTGGTGAGTATTTTACTCACTGAACTGCAACTCAATTTATAGCATTTGTATCATGTGTTTTTTTCTGGATTTTTGGTTGATATTCTGTCTCTATCATTTAAAATAGACCTATGATAAAAATTATAGACCTTTAATTTCTTTGTAAGTGGGCAAACCTACAAAATCTGCAGGGGATCAAATCATTATTTTCCTCACTGTAGGTTTTTCACTTTGGTAGGGAATTTTCCCTTAGCTTAATGAATGAGGTGAAGCTCTTTTGACATCCAATCATGTGCAAGCAAAATTATTAGGGATGCACCGATATATCGGCCGCTGAAACATATCAACCAAAAACGGCACTTTTGGCTAAATGCAGAAAGTGCCATTTTCCTGCCGATACATCGGCGCATCCCAGGTTTCATTCCTCCCCGTTGGGCGCTGCTCTGTGTCCCAGCGAGGAGGAGAGAAAGTGACAGCGGGAGGAGAGCGCGGTGAGCGGCCGGTGTCTCTCCTCCCAAACCGCTCACCTGCCTATCACAGTCCGGCAGAGCGGTGTGGGGGCTGAGACAGCCAGCGCTGTC